ATTTAGTACACTGCCGGTTTAATGAAGATTTTAAAAAATGGTTTTCCAATGGCAGGCTAAACAACTCACAAGACAAAAGGAAGATGTTTGCAAAATTTAGTGAACAGGGTAAAACAATTGACTTACTGTAGAACATTTCTATATTTTCCATGTTATTATAATGAGTTGTGAGAAAATAAACCTTACTGCACAGCACACCCTCCCCTGTTTTAAGTGAGTCAACAATGACTATGTCTACAGCATATAATGCGTTTGTGTGTTTACCTTTATGGAATCTGTAGAAAATGTCCAATTTGAGGGGAAAGCACATGCTAATCAAAATGTATAGATAATTAAAATATAATAATTATATTTTGGAGAAAATGTGTTATAAACTGCAATAAAAAATAAAAGAAATGATGTTATTGATTATTCCGTGTAGCCATGTTGTCATTGTGTTGTCATTGTACACATCTGTGTTGAATTATTTTACATAACTTTCAAGAGCGGTGTCTGGAAACTGAGGTCTCCCATATATTGATATTGTAGGAAGAGGACAATCAAAAAGGTCTAAGAAGGTAAGCTTTCCTCATAACGGCTTATCCAAACCCTAATCTAACATACCTGTTAATGATGTATTTTATTCTTGTCATTGAATGTTTTTATGAGTCATTTTTGCCCCCTGGGGAGGGGCTAGACCACAAGTGATTCTCACATCCTATTAATTGGTGAAAATGAGACTGACCACTTTGCTTAGAACACTTTTCCGGCTGACTGGTTGGTCAGACAAGTGTTAAATGGTCTGCATAATTTTTCTCACTCTTTCTAGTTTTAGCCTAATATGGGAGGTAAAACCATAGACTTACCATTTTTAGTGTTTGATGAAGAGCCATCTTGCTGAGTACCCATAGCGTATTAACCAATGACCATGAACATTTGCTAAAAGAAAACTCCATTGAGGATTGAGTATACACTTGTTTCTGAGCTTGGACAGAATCTTCATATACATTCTTCCCCTGAAGCACCCACTCAAAATGATAGCCATGGATATCCCCTTTTGCTCATTGTTTAACAAGATACAGTTGGGTTCACATCTACCACCAGGTCTAGAATCAAATCCTAGAAAGCATCTGAATAAGACTTCTTAATGTATCCCAGGGAAGGTTGGGCCATGTTAATAGCCTGTAGAACAAGAATGGATACAGTTGTGGTCAGAAGGTTATCAAGGACCAACTGGTGGTCATGTTGAAAAAGGAGGCCTTTGTACCTTGGCTGGCACAGTTTTGCTCTGACTCAGTTGTACCTGATGTCCAAAAGGGCTGTGGCTTAGGTAACCTATTTTAACAGATTCTGTATGTGAGTTTGTAGTCCGACTTGTTTTTCCCCTTGTGTTTCTGCAGGCATTTACGGTAAAATCATTTCCATTTTGAGAGCAAAAGGAGTGGAGCACAATTTGCCTAAATGCAGTCCTGCATCACATTGGAAGCATCTGAGAACTATTAACTTAAATGAATCTCTCCAAAGAGATATCACCATGAAGGTGAAGCTAGTAATATTCTCTTAGACTCTACTTCCAACTCCAACTACATTCTTTCCTCCCAAGTTTCCAGACTTTGATCAATGCAGCACAAGGAAATATGTGTTTTGAACCAGAAGTCTTTTATACTATTTGAAAAACTCAGTAGTTCTTCTCTGTTATTGGATATAATGTGCTTCTGTTGGCTTGAAGTGTAGATACTGTGTAATTTTCTATTATTGTATTTTTTTTATTTAACTGATGGAAATATGTTTGACCATATTTCCCTTTAGAGAAGGGTTGATTGCACTAGACTTGTATATATTTACTTACTCCAAGCTGAAAGAAACTGGACAGCAGTACTGCAAACATTGTAATCCTGTTGGTGACCTTTTAACTGGCAGATGTGGAAGCCAGTCCTGTTGTTCAGCTGTCACACAGCAAATGAAAATGAGGGATGGTGTGGTAAATTTCACATTATCTGTTGGATTATTGATGCAAATTCATAAATCAGAGACATCAGTTGAAGTGGAGACTACCTGTTACCATGTCTAAAACAACAGCAGACAGAAGTGAAGGAAACAACTTGACATGCATGTTTTAAAATAGTAGTAGATGTCCATTTTGAAATTTGATCAACAAATTCAGTTACCTTCAAGTTCAGATGGAATTCAGCTCCGTATCATTTGTGAAGTTTGTAACTAACGTTAAATTTAAAAATTGATGTGTTCTTTGATATTATCTCTCTCTACTCTCTTTTAATTTTCAAAATAGCACAACATATAAGAAGGTTTGTTTATTTCATTGAATTACCTCAATGACATGACTTAATTACTCTCTCTTTCTCACCTTCCCAGGAAGGGTTGCTGTAGACAACAAAACAATAAGGTTTTAATCTAAGTGCAATAAAGTATGTATTGTATTGTTTTTCACAAAGTTACAGTTTTTACAAAACTGTAGTGCTGCAAAAGACTTTGATAAAAAAGGTTTGTTCTTATTAAAGCAAAAGAGAAACAAAAATGGTGAGGCTTCATTATCAGCTAAAGCTGAAGTGAGCTAAAGTACACTCAATAAAAAGGTACATTTAGATTAATCGTCCACTAGAAATGTGGTTATAACAACTTCATATCATGATGAGCCAGGGGTCATTTCAAGCACCAGGATATCAAACAACTATAAATATTTATCTGTTTTTAAATTCTTGTTTGTCTTCAGTCAGTTTTTGAAGTTTTCTCAGTCAAAACAAAAGCAGGTTTTTAAAATGTCATTTTACCTTTTGTTTTCAATGTCAAGACTTAATTGCTCTTGTTCTCACCTTCCTAGGACGTGTTGCTAAGGACAGCAGAACAGCAACCGACAGACCAGGTAAGTGCTTTTACCTGAGGAAACACATGTCTTATGAAAGCTTTGTGTAGTAGTGTACAAGGTGCTGTGAAAGGATAAGATGTGCATTTATCGAATCAAAAGTGAAACGAACAAGTTAAAAATGTAAAGGTAGGCTAGGGGAGCCAAAGTCCCTCTATACACTTGTTTCTGAGCTTGGACAGAATCTTCATATACATTCTTCCCCTGAAGCACCCACTCAAAATGTTAGCCATGGATATCCCCTTTTGCTCATTGTTTAACAAGATACAGTTGGGTTCACATCTACCACCAGGTCTAGAATCAAATCCTAGAAAGCATCTGAATAAGACTTCTTAATGTATCCCAGAGAAGGTTGGGCCATGTTAATAGCCTGTAGAACTAGAATGGATACAGTTGTGGTCAGAAGGTTATCAAGGACCAACTGGTGGTCATGTTGAAAAAGGAGGCCTTTGTACCTTGGCTGGCACAGTTTTGCTCTGACTCAGTTGTACCTGATGTCCAAAAGGGCTGTGGCTTAGGTAACCTATTTTAACAGATTCTGTATGTGAGTTTGTAGTCCGACTTGTTTTTCCCCTTGTGTTTCTGCAGGCATTTACGGTAAAATCATTTCCATTTTGAGAGCAAAAGGAGTGGAGCACAATTTGCCTAAATGCAGTCCTGCATCACATTGGAAGCATCTGAGAACTATTAACTTAAATGAATCTCTGAAGTGAGCTAAAGTACACTCAATAAAAAGGTACATTTAGATTAATCATCCACTTGAAATGTGGTTATAACAACTTCATATCATGATGAGCCAGGGGTCATTTCAAGCACCAGGATATCAAGCAACTATAAATATTTATCCGTTTCTAAAAGATACAGTAAAAAAAAAGAACATGAAAAACATAATTAACTGTAATAATGAACGCCAATTCATTTGCTTTATCTCACTCTTTTAAAGTTCACCGAAACCTAGTTCCACTTCAATAATTGATTAATTGCTCGACTGAATCCATTCAAAGAGAAAAGTGACGTTTTAACCTTTATGAAGGTGGGATTGATTGAATAACTGAGCTAAGTGTAACCAGCAAACTGATGTTTGAACAGAAATGTGTCACATAAGCAAACTGGACCTACCAATTATCCCATAGCCTGAACTGCTGCCTTTTCATAAAACCTAAACATCTTTAGGTTGGGTGTCACTTTAGTCCTTTGTTCGGTCAGCAGCCTTTACGATCTTTCTCCACCTGTCAACCAGCCATTGAAGTCCATTGGGACTCTAAGCTGATGTAACAATGGCTGCTTGACCCCAAACCAGCTGCAGTGGGTCACGTACCTGAAGCTGGGCTGCTTAACAAAGATGCCAAAAACCTAAAAACAGTCAATTCTCCTAATTTTGTTTAAATCTTTTTTTTTTTTTAGTATTAAGCACATGCACAATCATAAATAACATTTAGATGACTATGTATTCTGTAGTTATAATCCTTGTCTTTTAACTTTTTTTTTTTTCCTGAAAAGTATTCAACATTAATCATGTCATAATATAGTAACTTCTGGTGAATTTAACAAACAGCTGATCCGTCTCAAAAGTAATATTTACAGTCTATGGTCTCAACAGCTGCAGACTATTCAGACTTTAGAAGTTCTCATGAAATCAGCTACACAAACTTGCTAAATTACAATCTCACAGCTGTGTGTGTCTTTTCCCTACACACTATAGGCCATATAATCCTTTACATAAAATGTTAAAGAAATCATTTGTGAATAATGAGCATTAGATAGGCCTATAAGATAGAAGAAAAGAACTGCCCATTTCTTCCTTTTACTTCTGAGCATCTTTCATTGGGATCCCATTGACCCCTCATACAAAGATAAAATATAGTTCTCCCTTTATCATACAATCATCATCTTGATATTTTAATTGGAAAAAAAAAAAAAAGTCTGGATTTAACTTTCCTAATCGTCGACTGTATCAATCTCACTTTTACTAATTATATGTAATTAAACCTCTGTAGGTTACTTCAACATTTTATGGGCGGCTCTTCCAATGCGACACACACGGAAGTCCTGGTTGAGGATCTTCGACTGACAACCATGAGAGCCAATCCTTTCCGCCGGTTGCCACACTCAGCCATTGAGGGGGAGGGGCTTAATCATCTTTTATGTTGTGTTGTTGGCTTGACGAAGCAGAGTCATTTGTTCCAGTGGTATCAGTCGGAGAGAAGACAGTCTGTAAACTCATCCAACATGGCAGAAGACAGAGCCAGAGGTAAAACACAACTTACATGTTTTCAACTAAGAGTAGGCACAAGTTGAGAATTCCTTAAAAGTGGGTAAATCTACATTCAGTGTCTGTTGACTTCCGATCTAACTCAAGCTAAGTGTCCTCATTGAAGCTGTGTACTATCACAAACTATTACATAAGTTTACGGAGACGCTTTCACGCCTCTTCTGTTTTTAAATCTTGTTTGTCTTCAGTCAGTTTTTGAAGTTTTCTCAGTCAAAACAAAAGCAGGTTTTTAAAATGTCATTTCACCTTTTGTTTTCAATGTCAAGACTTAATTGCTCTTGTTCTCACCTTCCTAGGACGTGTTGCTAAGGACAGCAGAACAGCAACCGACAGACCAGGTAAGTGCTTTTACCTGAGGAAACACATGTCTTATGAAAGCTTTGTGTAGTAGTGTACAAGGTGCTGTGAAAGGATAAGATGTGCATTTATCGAATCAAAAGTGAAACGAACAAGTTAAAAATGTAAAGGTAGGCTAGGGGAGCCAAAGTCCCTCTAAAGGTCAACATTAATCATCAACCAGATCTGTCTGTATTATAACTTTGATCACAAGCACCCTGCCATTAATGACACAGTGAAAAGCCAAGACACCACTTATTGCAAATAATGATGTCATGGTCCTGTTCAGTCGAAGTCTTAAAGAGTTAAATCTTCCAAGTATATTTCATTATAGTTAGACTGCTGAATATAATAAATAGCTCAGTTTACAGGGTCCAAATGACCATCACAATGAACTAAACTTTTACCTTGATGACATTTGGATGTAGAGCAGACCCAATAAACTTAGAGAATAAAACAAGCAAACATAATGATTTACTTATCAAACAGTCCTGAGTTGCCGCTTCAGCATTAGATGTCTAACCTAGATATTATTAGGGTGTGGTATGGAGGTGTTGCCTCTGTTCTTTTAGCAGCCTGTGCAATCTTTCTCCACCTGTCAACCTGCCATTGAAGCCCCTGAGGACTCTAAGCTGATGTAACAATAGCTGCTTGACCCCAAACCAGCTGCAGCGGAGCAATTCATGCACCTTCATTCATGGACAAAGAAACCTGAAAAACCAAATTCTCCCATGTTTGTGGCAACTTGAATCCTTTCAAATCCAGACTTGCGTGATTATCAAGTCGTGGGATGATTCATTCATGTGTTGTTTTCTACAGCATGCACAGAGAACCTGACAGAGACGGATGCTTTCATCAATAGGTAAACTGTTTTCTTATTTGTGTGTCAGCTGGAAATTCTAATTTCCCTCTGGCCCAGTACTCATGTTTCTCTGTGCTCTTCGTCATAAAAACAATGCAAAACAGCTCTTTAGGTTTGGATCCCACGGAGGAGTACAAGATGAACAACAAAAAAAGAGGTCTCGCACTCATCTTTAACCAGGAGCGCTTCTTTTGGCGCCTGGGTTTAAATGACAGGCATGGAACAAACGCTGACCGCTACAGCTTAGAGAAAAGGTACAACTTCTGAGCGAGAGGGAACAGTATACTTTATGAGTGTGCTCAAGAACTTGTCTCGACTTGTTTACTTAGGACTTTGTAAAAATATCTCTGGTAATACATGCCCTGTGCACTTAAACAAATGTTGACTTCTCTCTTCAGGCTGCAGGATCTAAACTTTGAAGTGAAAACTTACGAAAACTACAAACAGGAAGAAGTGCTGGAAAGAATCAATGAAGGTAAGCGCATTCATTACCAGCGTCACATCATTATTACTGAATTCCTTTGTCCTTTTTGCCATCTATATTTTAAACCCACACAGAATGTGGCTGTATTGCTCCTGTTTTTTTACTTGCATGTTTAACAAATAGCTGATGTCTCAACAGCTGCAGAGGCCGACCACTCAGACGTAGACTGTTTTTTACTTGTTTTCCTGAGCCATGGTGAAAACGATCATGTGTACACCTACGATGGCAAGATCAGCATTCAGGACATCACATCCCTTTTCAAAGGAGACAGGTGCAGGAGCCTCGTAGGAAAGCCAAAGATCTTCATCTTACAGGTACAAGCAACATAAAGCTAAAACCTGTTGAAATTCAACTGCCTCTTACAGTTGAACCTGTTTTTTTAATGCCTTAAGGCAGCATATGGGACTCTCTTTCTTCACTAGGCATGCCGCGGGGACAAGCATGATGATCCAGTGACTGCCTGCGACGCAGTGGACAGCGAGTTAAAGACAAACGAGGTGGTAGTGGACGCCAGCGCTGTGCACACCCTCCCTGCTGGGGCTGATTTCATCATGTGCTACTCTGTGGCTGAAGGTGAGCATGGCAGGATTGATAGACCTTGCAACATCAATTTATTAATTCATTTAGGCTCTCTGGGCTTCTGCCTGTTAGAAAATCAATTAAGATCCATGCAGGCAAGCTCAGTTACAGCTAGCAGGTTAACTTTACCTGGCTTGCTCACTGATACTATTGCTAGAAAAATACTCCCTAGGTAGGTGTGTTTGTTGTCTAACTTGCTGAGTTACTACACCAACCTACAACATCCATTATATTTATAGGTAGAAAAAAAATGCTTGGTTATGTAAGATGATGCTACTAATTTGGCCCAGGAGTGTTGTGGGTGTGAGAAACAGAAAGCCAAAAAGATTTACAAATACAGATTTAAAAAAAACAAGATCAAATTATTCTAAACATACAAGTCTCTCTAAACGTTTGCTGTTTGTAGGAAACAACTACCCAATTAAGTTTTGCTATGTTTTTCTTTTTAGGGTACTATTCCCACAGGGAGACCATCAACGGCTCCTGGTATGTCCAGGATCTGTGTGAGCTGCTTCAGAAGTACGGGGAGTCTCTTGAATTCACAGAGTTGCTCACGCTGGTCAACAGGAAAGTATCAATGAGGAGCGTTGGCAATAGTAGTGACAGAAGTTCCATCGGGAAGAAACAAGTACCTTGCTTTGCGTCAATGCTGACCAAGAAACTGTACTTTCGGCCAAAAAAGGAGTAGTTAAACCTTTTGAAAGAAAAAATAATATCCCAAAACGAGCTGGTTTTATGATCATTATTGATACATTTTAAGAAATTATGATTTTTCTGTCTAGTCCTTTCATGTGTTTTTGCTTATGAACAATACTATTCACATATGCATTGAACAATCAGGTAACTGGTAGCCGTTGGAATTACAGAGGTTATAAAATAACAGGAGCAACTTAATACCCATGCACCCAAGAAATATGAATAATCCCACTCTCACACTATTAATTTAATCCTGAAACTTCAACTCTTGTGAAATCATGGTTTCAGTTATCAAATAAAGCTTCTTCTGGAGATAACCAGATTCCCTGGCTGTGATCAAAAACTGGACCATGGCATGACCTGGCTGATGCATCTGCTTTTTGCATTTTCAGCACAGAGAATGAACACAGGGAACATTTCTGTGGCTGATATAAGGTGGAGGGTAGAGGAAAAACTAGTAAAACATCATACATGATCAGATTTACTGGTTTGATCCTGGTTTGACACGCTTATGTCGTTTCTTGTGATAATGCAAATATCAAGTAGCCCTAATATAATCCAATACATTAACAGCAGTGCAGTACAGGCGGGCTAAGAACAAAACTAAAACACCTACCTTACCAAACAAAACCCCAACCCTTTAAGGGAGAGGGTTAGAAAACAGTTGCCCGTTTGTACTATCATTCTTTTATTCCCCTAATAACCAATTGGCACCAGAAGTCAAAGTGCGTCTGGATGACTTTGTATTCAAACTGGAAATGGCTTAAATGTGAATTCTGCTAATTTGTGTTGACTCAAATCAAGACTAATTATTGGGCCCAACATTTATATTTTTTTTGTATCAGATTGCATTATGATTTAAGAAGTTCCTCTTATTTTATTACTGTTTTCAGATCCTGTAGAGCCATACACATTTAGCGTTCTTAAAAACTCTACACTGCGCAATAATTAGGGATCACACTCTGAAATTCTCTTTTTTTTTCACATTTAGCATGCTTCCACTTTAAACTACTTCGATACCAAACCTGCCTGATACTGTCGCTGACTTGTTTCTTAAGAAGCCAAGTAGACTGTAGAAATGGACATCTCCAGCTTTCCACGTGATGTTCATTATCTCTGAGGTTTGTGGAATTATCAAGTACTGTGAATCTAGTTTTTTGGAATGTAATTTGCAGGAACATCTGAAATCCAGACATTTACATTCCTACTAAATGTTTCTTGTGAGGCAGAAGGCAACTACAGAGAAGGGTCCAATATCTCTTTTAAGTGTTCATGATCAAGTCATCATTAAAGATTATCCAGGCACTAAAGACATGCCGTTTGTCTTAAAGCTAACTCCACCAAAAGGGAATTCATGTTTGTGCTGTTCTTTGTGTCTCAGCCACAACACATGAATATGATAAATGCATATTTGCACCAAAAATGGCAACAAAAACCCAAGTGTGGAAAGTACCTCAGGGAGGAGGCGGGGTGTTTGTGAGCTGTACTCTGGAACTAAAACACTTCTAGCTTTGTCGCATGATCTATGACTCAGGAAAAACCAAGATAGCAGCATACATTGATGATCCTGTATTTTTGTGGTCTATCCTGTTGTGACTTTTCAAAATAAAAAGTGTCCTTTTATATACTGTAATCATGTGATGTCTTTATTTCACCTGCACCGTCCAAGGTGCACTATGTAGATTTGATAGTGAAATTTGAAAGTTGGAGAAGTGAAACAATTCTATGCTATAGCTTCTGAACTAAATACACAAACTTCATTCAAAGGAAAAAACGGGTCCATGGAGCACTGTTTGGAGCTAAAAAGCTACCAGGAGAGTGACTGTTTCACTGTAGTGGACCCAACACTATAACTTCTAGTGTAGCATTTTATCTTCAAACAATGTTGCAGAGACCAAATGTTCCTCTGAGGACAGTTTGTGTATAGAGTTAAGAACATGTAGCACAGAATTTGTAAATTTCGCCAACTTTCACATTTCTCTACCAAAACTCCGTAGTGCACTTTTAAGGTCACATAAAATAACGAAATAATAATAATAAGACATCAGGCAGGCGATTCTCTCCATGTATGGGAAATACTTTTAATTCAATAATCCTCTGTGACATAATTAGCATCATTATCAAGACTGTAAAATAAAGAAAAGAATGATATGGATTCCTGGTAAAAAGTTGTCTATCAAAATAAAGAAGGAAATTAACCCCCCCCCCACCCGGAGTGTGAAAGTTTTAGTGATCAGTAATCATGGCTTGGCTTTGTTTATGGCTTTGGCTGGATCAGTTCAAGTGGTAGCTGGAGTTGAGTTGGTTCCCTCAGACGTTTCAGGTCCTCCTCCACCTGACACAGAAAACACAGAGCATTCATTACGAAACTGAATCACAAGTATTTAAGGGTCTTGAAACAAGACTCTTTGTAGGCCACCCTCTGGATACTTCACCATTGCCACTATGATGTCAAAATGTGTATTTGTCCAGTGATGTGGTTCATGACTAAATAAATAATCATTCTCAGCTGTAATTAGTGTTAGAGCTATCAGCAAATGCTTACACTCTTAACTATGATGATAACCATGTCAAAAAGAATCCCCACTGAGCACAAGGTGGCACACTGAAAATTAGAATCTCACTGAAATCACTGCTGTTGTAAGTGAAGTTAAACCTAAAAGAGCTGTTAGCCCTTCTGTAAAATCGTACTCCATTACATAGCTTGTATCTTGAAACATCAAAACCTTAAAAAATAATATCTTTGTGTGATTTGACTTGGATGCAGGAAAGTGAGTGACTGAGATTTTGAGATATTCCATCTTTCACTTTTGCTCAGACGCTTAGAATCCAGAAACTAAATTTTTGTATGTGCGGTTTAGTTTAGTGTTCAGGATAAGAAATGCAGTAGATTGTGACTTTTAAGTGTCTCCCCCTGAGGCAAAGGAAGAAGCTAATTTAAGAAAGCAAAAGGTGAATCAATCAACCAACCTGAGCCAGTTCATCTTCAGTTCGTTGTATTTGTTCACGTTGAATTTGTTCTTGCTCGCCCCTTGTAAAAGTATTGCAGGAACTTTCTGTCTTTAACCTCTGTGTAGATGTAATCCTGAGGGAAAGAGAAAAAGGGATCGCTATTAATGTGGTACGCAAAAATAAAAATAAAAACTGCACACACGTGAATGACTTTGTACAACTGAGCACCAGGTTCATATTACTGTTACAGGAATAGTTTGAAATGTTTGTAAATACAATAGTTTTGTAATAAGAGTTGGACACAGATTTAAAACTGCTGTCACATCTGTCTGTTAAATATGCAAAAAAAAAGATCCAGCAGCTATCTAGCTGACAGCTGAGTAATAAACCTGGAAACAGAAGTTATCTGTGCCTGACGGTTACATAATCCACCTACCAAGAACTCCTTATTAACAACTAATGTCTAATTTGTTTTTGTAAGAGTAGAATTGATCTTCTAATCCTACTATCTGCAAAAGCTAATGAGTGTATTTGACCAATATATCTCACTGTTTAGTGTATATTTAATCAGTTAGGGTCACATCTGGAAACCAACAGCTCAGAAGTGTTGTGCTTGGTCCTTAGA